CTGCCTGAGCTGGCAAGCCCTTCCAGGATGTCCTTCCGGACTGGCTCCTTGAGTCACCCGAACCTCCACCAGTCTGCTGAGCAGCTGTGAATATAGACCGCACACGAAATGACCACGCCACGAACATATACGAACTTCCTTTTCTCCGTCTCCTTTTCCTCTCTCCTGTGTTTCTTTTCGCACTGGGGTACTCTTTCATATTGGGGTTTTTGTTGTCACTATGTTTTCTTCTTGTGTACTTGGGTTAGAATTGTTGGGTGGTGAGGATTGCCTCTTGTGACTTTGTTGACGCCCTTGGGGTGGCTGGAATTGACATGAATAGATTTTGGGAAAGCAAAGGGCGCTCGTGTTAAAACTCCTTTGCTCCTGTCATTTGCTTGAGACATGGAAGCAGGAGGTATCTCGTGTTTTATTGACTTCTGTTTATTCTCTGGTTTTCATTTCCTTGACTTTGGTGAGGGGTGGGTTGGTACTTGACAGCAGCGTTTTAGCGTCCTTTCTTCTTGTACCTAGTGGTACCCTTCAAAAAGAATTGCATGAGTTATACACGTTTCTCGATGGGTTCCGCGTCTGCACTTGCTGGATGGGCAGTAACTCAACACTTGACTGGTGCATGCATTATTTGGGTCAGGGGGCATCGATGAAGGGTCCGTCTGCGCGAGTGCGGACTTAGCGGCAGAGTACTGTGCTAAACTCCCCCGCAGCCACAGCAAGCAGCCAGAAAGAAGGGGAAGACCAGCAGAAAGGCAAGGCGAAAAGAACAAACTTCACAGCGGTAGAAATTTGCTGGTGGTTGCCCACCCACCTACTAGCCCAATTTCCAGGCAGGGCGTAAAAAGCAGCATGTGGCGCGCTAACTAACTACTAGCTACGGTCTACTGTCTGCAGCAGGACGGAGGGTCATTCAGTCATCTTTACCTTACAAATTATGCCACCTCGCGGATTAATTGCCCGTCCATAGGTAGTATAGAAGATCCCTATCCTATAGATGAAGCTCTATGCTAAGGGTGGGGGCAGAGGGGTTATGCTATAGCAGAAGCACCACCACGCTTTTCGGCTGATCATGAAAAAGTATCCAAGTCCCATAAGTGGATTCATTCATAGTGTAGCAGTCAGAAGACACAGTCAATCGCATCTTTCCATCGTGAGCTGTAGGCCTACGAGAGAATAGGCCTTCCGAACACTTTATCTCACGGGATGTGCTTCCCTGCTTTGGTGTTGTTCTTGAGCCCTCTCTCATGGTGCCCGCTCTACTGAAATCGGATCTTAGCTCTGGACTGCAATCAGTGGTATAGAGAGGAGTTCTTTGGAAGTTAACTGGTAGATCCAGATGCGCAAGAACAAGAAGTATATACTGCCTCTTCTCCTCCTCGCCCTCCTCCTCCTCCTCCTCCAGCAGAAATGATAATAGCCTGCGATGACAACATAGAAAGCAGAAAGCCTAGTAAGTTAGTCGTCCGTACTGTTTTCCCGGGCGCATTGGGCGTGAGATATAACGTTACTGGCCAACAGGTCAACTAATGAGACTCTAGACGGGTTACTGCCCCATGAAGCGGAGACTCATACTCATGAAAAGAAGAATAAGTCACATAACTGTGGGAGAGTACAGAAAAAGAGGGGAGCTCTGCGGACTCAAGTCCAAGGAGGGAGATGGCAAAGACTACTGGTATCTTTACCATTGAAGAAAAGAAAGGGGAGAAGGGAAGAATCTCCGGGATTTATATGACTACCTAGCCCCCTCTGGTTGTTCCGTTCTTTGTTCACTGATGTGTTAAGTGATTATCGGATTAGGAAAGACAAAAGAAGGAGTACGAGGCAGTAGACACAAAGAAGCGATTTTCATATACTTGGTTCGGCCTCATGAAAGAACGAACAAAGCTCGCTGTGGTGTGGTGTGGTGCACTGCTGTTCTTGAAGGGATTGTAAATACCATGGCTGCTTACTGGCGATCGATTCTGAATATGACTTTGTGGGCTCGAGGCATAATTGATCCGATCCCATCGTACTGACTTTTTAATGTTCTAATGAAGGTGCTTTCGCAGAATGAAAACAAGCTCTAGACTCCTACAAAGGTCCCGTATTTTGGCATCATTATGACGGTTTCTGAATGGCATCGACCGAGGCGGCGGGGGCGGTAGCGGAGGCGCCTGAGGTAGTTTTATTAGCGCGGCGGAAAGTGACTCTTACCTGTTTTAGCTGCTGTAGTTTTAGTTGTATAAGGTAGACTGGTTCATCATGATCCATTGCTCACGGGACCCGGTTGATCTCTGCCCTAGCAAATTACACCACCCTTCTACAAAAAGGAACGGAGGTGCTCATCGCTGTGGTTGTATTCGGTGGCGTAAACTCGGTGGTGAAACATGGCTCTTGCCTGCTAGGGTGGCAGTGCGGATCTGCTTGAAGTCTCGTACTCAAGCTCGCGACTCCTGACTCTGATTCAGAGGGAGGCATGTTTTGCATCACTGATCGTGGCTGGGTAAGATGGCTGACTGGGTCTTGGATCCCAAGGTTACTGTGAAGCGGTAGATGCCTTCTTCACCGATGTCTGTCTCTTGGCCTTTGCATGGTAAGCTTCGGAGTAGGCTCACACTTGCCGTATATGCCTGTGCTCAAGGAGGCAAGTCCCCCTTTCCTGTAATCATTCCATAATCATCGTCACCATCCTACTTTCTTCCTGCTCACAGGCCTCATTCAATCTCTCTATCCCCATCTCCTCCACGGGCAGTCTTTGTTCCAGACCATCATACTCATTTCAACCGGACCAAGCTTCTATGACTTTTTCTTCCGCTTCCTCCACCACGATCTCCGAGCCACCTCCCAGCAGACTGACAGGAAGTAAAACTGTCGAATGAAGGGTAGGCACTCATTCCTCAGCGGAAGATTGACTGGCTGGCTGACTCGAATCATCTCACAAGGGAACTAGCATGGGCGAAGGAATGCTAGTTTATGACAAGTGCACCAAATCACGTCGCATACAAGTACCTGAAGCCCTATCCAGGCATATGGAGAACAGCCTCAATGCAACCACTACATTGCCATCAGACTAAGGCCGCCCGGCTCTGTTTGGAGCGCTCCAGACACACCCTTACCCGACTTCCTGTCGATGAATCGTAAGAAACGACTTGACCACTTGTCTTCCGCTCCAAACCAAGTGTCTTATGATTCTACCTACACCTCCCGACCTCGCTTCTTCTTACTCAATTCGGTCGTGATACTGAGACATTACCTGTACGTTCAGATGTCATTGCTCTCGCCAAGTTGAAGTGATGTACAAATGATTGGCCTGCCGATCATCCAGTGATGGACAAAAGAAAATACAAGGGGGGGGCTTCTTTTTTGTCTTGATGTTTTCTTTTTTCCTGTCTGGAACAGGCTCTGCTCCTTCAAGTTACTAGTACCTACTACTGGGTCAGAACATCTGGGCAGGTGTTGATTTTGGCCAATCGCGTTCTCAACTATTTCACCAATAACTGACTGGCGTTGTTGAGCTCTGAAGCCGCCAGCCTTGACAACTGAAATCCATGCTTGTAAGTAAGTCGAAATGGTTCAAGCCAGGCTGGAATTCATGTTAGACATCCCTGTATTCTGTACCAGAACAGAACTGACTAGCGAAGCTCAACGCCCATCCGATACGGGGATGAGCACCGCCCCTGTCGTTTTTCTCCAGCAGAAAGCCTAGTGAGATGTTAGTGTTGAGGGATTCCGGCATCTAATAGAAACCAAAAATCAGAGGCCATGTGGAAATGAGCGACCCGTCTAGATTGAGCATAGCATTCAAACGCCCTGTGTTTGACGCATTTATCGCGCGCGCAGTGAACTTGTGTTTCACAGAGTGCAAAGGGTAGACAGAGTTGGGGGTGGGAAGAGGAGGAGGCAAGCAAAGCCCCCTAGCCCAGGGGTGTCTTCCCAGAGAAGCAATTCAGCCTTGTTGACATTTACAAGTCTATATGATTACGGAGTAGTTCGCTACCATATCATGACGGATGGAATGAGGAGGTGTCCGACTAGCCGCGCGTCAGCAGCGCTTGCGTCTGATCGAGCTTGGCGCGCATTGACGCAGTCCCACCCGCCGCCGTCTGGAGCTCCCCTCGAGATGATTGCAAGTCCCCCCATCTCCTCTTTCTATCTCTCCTATAATCAAACCAACGATCAATCCTTCGGAAGGGCAGCAGCTCTTAGCCCGCCCATCAGCGCCCCACACCGTCCTCGTCGCCTGCCGAGTCTCAAGAGCCTGCAGCTGCATCCGCCCCCACGGTTCGTCTCAAGAATCTCAGCGCCCATCCTGTCCGAAGTTGCGGGAACACCACCACCTCATTTCCGCGCCACTTGCATTCGCTTGCAGCAACTCATCGTCGCAAAACCTGTGGACTTTTCCTCTTCACACCTTCCAGCTACTACCAATCGCTTCCTGGATCCCAATCTCGAAAGGTACCGCGCCTATCGTTCGTTCCGCTTGTATCTCACAGCTGCCCCGTTCACGAACATTCACTCGTCGTCCAATTGCTATTTCTCTCCTCCTTCTCCATCTTCGTCGCCTTGCAATCGCAGTGTTATATCGTACCTTCTCCCATTATGCTTGAGCCACAGCTGACTCTGCCGTCACACCCGTCTCCGCGGTTTTCCTCCAACATTCAGCACTTCTACAGTTCTCGCTCGTATCCCTTCCCGTTCAGTACCCGACCACGCTACTCATAACACAAGGAACGCGCCCGGAATCGCAACCAGAGCTTTAAACGACAGCATCGGGAAGTCTCTGCTCATCGTGCCCAGAGCGACACCAATTGAAATACCCCGTCCACGATCCCGCTGGCTTGCGGCAGAATGGCCGGCCCAGCGAATCCTTTCTCGAGCATCGGCCAGAGAGATGGTTCGGCTGGCTCCGCTGGTCGTGGACGTGGTGGACCATCTGGACGCTCGACTCCGTATCAACCCAAGGCCAACACCGCGACACGCGACCCCAGGCTTCGTGGTCGGGGGCGCGGCGCTTCAGCGGTAAGAGGCACACGTGGTCAGGGGAGGGGAGCCGGGACGGGGAATAACGTCTGGAGAAAACAGGCCGAACAACCGGCCGAGCCTGCCACTGGCGCCTCGTCGCCTTTCGGACAGCCGAAGAAGCTGGCTTCTTCCTCCGCCACCCCTCCTGCGCAGCCGTCTCCGAGCCCTTCCCCATTCGCGGGGTTTGGAAAAGCATCACCCGTGTCGTTTGGGACTCCCTCGAGCTTCTCTGGGGCTCAAAATGGCGGCAACGTCGCTTCACCACGGCAACCATTCGCGCAGCCTACCAGTGGAGCGACCAGTGCGGCCGTCCCCGTGGAGGACGCCGCGCTTCTAAGTAGCTATACGGATCGCTACGAACAGGTTAGTTGGAATTGTACTTCGGGATTTGGACACTGGTGGTTATTTTGATTGATGCTCACTTTCGAACAGCTCAAGCTTGATAGGACGAAGCAAAGAGAGAAGGCTATACGGGAAGGTCAGATGGCAGATCCGAACCAGCCAACGTCACTGCAGCAAGCCATTACGCCTGTGGGTACTTGTACAAGCATGTGTCCAGAATTCGAACGCGTGGAGCGCATTGTTCAGAAGATGGTCGACAAGAGCGAAAAGGTGATAGCATTTGTCCGAGTTCTGCGCGTCCGAAAGCTTATTCTTTGATCAGTACCTGCATCCTGCCACGAACACCTTACAAAATATGGAATTGAAGATGCTCAAGCGGTTTCGACGATCGGCCGCCGGTTACGACGCGCAACTCCCGTCTGATATCAGAACACCTCAAGCGCTCCTTCAGACGATGAATTATCTTATTCGGCATGTTCTCGACGGCCTTGAACCGCTTGGATTGATTCACAAATTCGTTTGGGACCGGACTCGTTCAATCCGCAATGATTTTTCCGTGCAACAGCTCACTCAAGAAGACGATGTCAAGATTGCCGTGACTTGTCTCGAGCGAATCGCTCGATTCCACATTGTATCCCTGCATCTTCTTTCTAGCCCGGCCAACGAGGAACCTTTCGACCGACACCAGGAACGGGAACAATTGAACAACACAATGCTTTCGCTAATGTACTACTACGACGACAACAGAGGCCGCATCCCGTTTCCCAACGAGGATGAGTTTCGAGCTTATTATATTCTTTTCTCGATCCATGATCAACGACCTGATTTGGAATCCCGCGTTCAGAAATGGCCGGTTGAGCTGAGGAGCTCCCCTCGCGTTCAGATGGCACTGGAGCTTTTCGCCGCAGCCAGCAATACCTGGGAATACCAGGGTACTCTCGATGCCAAACGCCCCAACGCTATCGCTCAGGGCTTCTATATGCGGTTCTTCAACCTGATAGACTCTCCGGGAGTCTCTTACCTAATGGCATGCGTCGCCGAAATCTACTTCAATCATATGCGTCAGACCGCCATCCGCTCGATATGGAAGGCCTACTGCCGCTATCCAGCTTCTCAACAACACAAAAACGAGGAATGGACAGTGGATGAGCTGACTACGGTTCTTCGCTTTGATGATTATGATCAGACAATCAAATTCTGCGAAGAGCAGGACCTCCAGTTCGCCGAAAATGCAAACGGGGATCTTTATCTCAACTGGGGCACCCGTCCTGTGGATTCAGTCGGTACGTGTGCACTCTCGGCAGCTGTTTCGCCGTATATCTCCGTTTGTCGGGCTCAGTTCGCATCTTAAGGAGCTTGGATCTTAAGGCTACCAGCTCTGGTACTCAATTGATTTGACTCAACGACTAACTCGATTTGCGCTACAGCCTTTCAGCCATCCTCGGACCATGCATTTTCGGACACATACGTCGAATCGAAGCGCGCAGGTAGAACGCTTCCAGCAATCATCCTTGGGCTCAACATCAAGGAGGCAGCAAATCTGCAGATGATTGACAGTTCTCTCCTGCCGGAACGTCTCCCTGCTCTTCCCGCCCCTCAACCACATACTTCGACAAATGATGAATCACTTTTTGTGAGCGACGACGAGAATCCCTCTGCGTTCCCCTTCGCCTCTTCGCACGAAGGAAGCTCTCGAAATTCCCCGACGTCGACATCTAGCCTTCAGAACGCTTTTGTGAATGTCCCACCAGCAGCTACCAGCACTGAACCGAGTCGCCCCCCGACTTTTTCATTCGCGTCACCTTCACCTCAACCACAAGCGCCTGAAAAACAGGCGGCTCCTTTCTCGTCCCTTTTTCCTAATCCTTCCTCTAACACCTTTGGCGCGCCTTCGCCGTTACCACCAACCCCTTTCGCCACTGGCACCCCAACTTTACCCCAGTCAAGCCAGTCACCATTGAGTCTGTCAGCAACATCGAGCGGTCAGCCGTCGTCTTCGAGTCCATTTTCGAATGGCGCTTCGACATTCTCGTTTTCTAAGCCCCCACAGCAGGGTCAAAGTACGATATCTTTCCCGTCGGCATCGGGAAATCAACAGGCTTCTTCGGGCGCGTTCGCTGCGACCCCCTCTCCTTTCTCGTTCCCCAAACCTTCCCAGCAGGATGAAAGCAGCAAGCACGTGTCTAGTACGTCAAACGCACAAAAGGTCTCTTCAAATTCGTTCGCATCAACTACTTCGCCTTTCAATTTCGGACAACCAGCTCAGCCAGCTCAACCAACCACAGCGTTACCGACAGGAATCAGCCAACAGCCTATCTTCGCCAATGTTCAAAGCCCGAGTCAAGAGAAGCAGCAACAACCGCCACTCTCCTCGCTTTCATCTTCTACGCCATTCAAATTTCCAACATCTTCCACTCCTCAGCCATCTTTAACTTCACCTTTCAGTACTTCCGTTCCTGCATCTGCGTCAAATCCCGTCTTTTCCACTACCGGGCAGTCCGCTCCTAGCATATTCAGCACTGGTGGTTCAAAGCCTACCTTCGACGGCTTCTCAGGCTCGGGCTTCAGTGCTTCTGTACCAAGCCTGACCTCTGATAATGCGGCTGCTAAACAGCCTCCGTCCTTGTTTCCCAAGCCTTCGGAAGAGACAGCCAAGCCGGCATCCCCTTTCCCCTTGTTTTCTTCTCCGAAACAGACCAGTATGTCAAACTCAGTTATCTGAAAGACCTCACACGCTAACTTATCCGAAGAACAACCTACTACATCCTTTGCTCAACCACCAAGTTCAAAGTCAGAGATTTCACCTGAAGAGAAGCAGAGCCTTTCTGGCCGTGTACAAACCAGTATCTCAGACAAGCAACTTGACACTTCGACGCAAGCTGAAGTGCCAGCTGTGTCCGTTTCAGAAAAGGAACCAGAACTACAACTTGATGACCTGGGTTCTCCGCAAAAGCCACTGCTCGCAGCCACCGAACCGAGCAAGGATCAAATTCCGGTGGTTCCTGCTCAGCCTCTACCCGAAGATGCTACGACTAACGACGAGGTGCCTGTGCAGCGTACTTCCTGGTTGTCGGCTCTCAGGGAAGCCGCTGACCGGCGTCGGGAGAGCAAACCAACCGCCAGTCGCAAACGAGTTCACGAGGAACCTGAAGAACCCTCGCCACCCCAAAGCGATAGCGGCACCAAGGTGGTCAAGGCGCAAAAGCAAGAAGCGCCTCGCGTGCCCAGCCGGAAGTCAATGGCACTTTCATCTCTGAAGCCTTTGCCCAAGCTTCCGATCTTGGAACAAATCGAGTCGATGACCACCCGGAAGCCAGCCGCGCCCTCAAAACCCCAGGAGCCAAGGTCTGTTCAAGTCGATGAGGACGAGCTCCTTCTCTCTGCTGCGCGCATTGCAGCCGAGTCGTTGAGAAGCGGTCCCCGGATCCTGGACAGGTGGTCTGCCGCTTCTTACGATGGGCGGGCATCTTCCTTTAGCGGTAGAAGTAGCGCGTCGCCGTCTTATGCCTTTTCGCGAAGCCAGTCACCCCAGTCGGGCCAAGTGAACGGGTACGAGGTTTCCCTGGCCCCCGATACCAACCTAGGGCTAGGCCGTACCATGTCTCGAACGGAGCAACGGATCCGCATGACCGGGGCTCACGGGCTCGCCTACAAACCTTTGGACTTTCCCCGTACCGATCGCAAACGGAAAACGCGTTGAGAATGGTGATGTCTGATACGATGGAGTCATGCTTGGCCCCGCTTCTTCTCTCATCATTCATTTATGCTCTCTTCTGCCCTGTAGGGTTTTCCACGAGAAGAAAACCCCCCCTCAGTTATCATGCATGGCAGGAGGAAAGGACTATACTATACCATTGGTTCCATTCTTCATTTTTTTTTCTCGCCACGGCGTTGGTTGGGCGATATCACACACATGCCTTTTGTTGTCCCCTCATGTGCATGAAGCCTGAGTTATGTTTGGGGTTTTTCTTCACAGTGCATGGCGCTGGAATCGTTCATCTTTGGTCATACAGATTTATATGCATTGTATATAGCGCTTGCTGCATTGACTGCAATCCTACGCATCTTACGGATATTATCTTCAACCTGTTGGTTTCCAGCATCTCAAGACATAGCTAATCAGCATCGTATGTAGAGCAATGTGCTGATCTGCGATAACAGCAATCCTGCTCCGGTGGGCATGTATGCCTTGCCAACCATCATCTTTTGCGTACGGATAGAGGTGCCACTCCTCCCTGGGACACGGGGGGGAGGGGTTTCTTCTTGAGGTTTGTCAAGCATCCGCCTCCAGAAGTAATTATGTACTGTACTTGATAACTTAAGCTTTTGTGATACCCGGCTCAGGGTATGTGTCCGTGTTATGGAATCATCAGCTCGTTTGGTGGATGACTTATCTATGGTACGTTGTCAGGGTCCCGGGGGTTACCGTCGGCTGAAGACGTGGGTTGCGACCCCCAGGTCTCTCTTTCGATTAGGAAGCAAGCACTGCTATCAAAACCTCGTATAGTAGGAAGATTCGGGTGGAAAGGCGTCTGTCTCTGTCTGTCTCGTGGGCGGAGCGGCTCTTGTTTAGGAAGGGGGGGCATAGGGATCGGACTCGGGACTCACTCGGGATCGGAGGGAACTCGGTAGCGTCGCTCGAGCAGAGCAGAGCAGATGATGGATGGTCACTGGTATCTAGTGGCCGAATCTCGTCGGCCAGGTGTACGATTGAATCCTGGTCCGGGCTATATGATGCATCTCAATATATGTATGTATGTATACTTGCTCGGTTATCTCTGGATGGGGCTAAATCAGGTGTACTTGTACTGTACCTTACATATCCACTATCAAGACGGTAGCGTAGAGTCAGTCCTAGGAGCCTTACCTTACGCCTAAGCTTTATCCTGTCCAAGCTAGTCGTCCTTGATGCTGTTGAACTCTTTTCTAGTATTCTCTATTCCGATAGCGATACGGAGTAGAGGCCACCAAGTCTCCGGGGGTTTTATCTCCCCGCCGCCGAGGCCTCTGTAAACCTTCCATCCTTCCTCGACGGTCTGATATGCAGGTATTACCACGAATCACCTCATAGCAAAAGTGTAACCCGTCTCGCTGACGCGCGCAAGCCACCCCCCCCCCTCTCTCCGGTGTCGCGGTAGGATCCGACTGGGGATGTTCTCATGTATAAGTGGGTTAGTCTGAACTAGTCTTAGACGTAAATTTATACACTACTTCTAGATTGGAAGTTGGATCAGAAGTGGCTACCTCAAGTAATTAGAGTATATGGGTTTATCCTCTAAAGAGGGCTAGGTCTAAACGTCTATACCAGTAGAAGATTGCCACTGTAATAGGAATCTATGAGGCATAGCCGATTACTAGCTATCTGATGGCCATGACCTCTTACCCGACCACAGCAGGGCCCATGTCCTATCCTGATATCATTGTTGGGTCTTATCTAGCTATATCGAACAGTTACTCACAAAGTAGAATGAAAGGAAAAGAAAGTGATGCACGCTTAAGACAATTCAGCTAAGCCGAATGCACGCCCTCATCCAAGTCCTTTTCCCACCCCTCCCCGAGTTTCCAGTCCTTATATACCTCGAGCTCATCTGTTGTAATGGGATTATGTGTCCCCCACTCATCTTCCTCCTCATCTTCCTCCTCCACGGCCACTTCATCTGAGCTGGTTCGATCTCTCATCGGCGGAAGCACCGGATCCGACAAGGTAGGCGACGCCTCAAGATGGTAGGTCCTATCCGGCACCGTGGAAGTCAATGATAGTTGGTCCTCCTTATCTGAGTCCGTGCCACTGTGGCTCGATCCCTCCCCGCTATAGCATTTGGGTGACTCGTTCGCCTCAAGCTCCTTCGTATAGCTAGACAGCTCCACGATGGGGTCACCGGGTGCCCGAGGTATCCAACCCCTGCATGCCCGGCTGTACAGGTCCTGGAATGAGGGCCCGTGACTGCGATTGCTGAACCATTCATGCTCCAGAGCCTCCTTAGCAGTCATGCGCTTGTCCTCCGCCATATCAAGCAGATGGCAGATGAAATTTTGAGCGCGGACTCTGATCTTATGTGAATAAAAGAAACTCAGTAGGTGGAACACACCAGTTTCTCGAGCAAGAAAGTCCGCCCACGATTCAAACGAACTGTCGGGTAAAAGTTCTCCGGTGAGTAGGATGGTTGCCACACATCCCAGAGACCACATGTCGATAGCTCTGGTGTAACGTCTCTCGAGCATCTCACTACTGCAGTTAGCAAGCTGATTCCGCCCTGTCACATAGTGCCTGAAGATGACCAAACATGACTTACGGAGCACGATACGCGATGGTACCCTTCGTTGCCGCCATTTTTTTCATGGGATGATTCAACCGCGTAGCGCAGCCAAAGTCAGTGAGAACAACCCTACCCCCCTCTTCCAAGGTTGTCATGAGGATGTTATCGAGTTTCAGATCGCAGTGGACAATATCTTGGTCATGAAGGTACTCCAGTGCAAGGAGGATCTGCCGCACTACCGATGCGGCCTCCATGTTAGCAAGCTTTCCTCCTTTGTATTGCATATAAGAGAAGAGATCCCCTCCGGTGACAAGTTCCTGGAAGATGTAGCTGTTCACAACCGCGAACTTAGCTTTTATCTCAATGTTCCCGGGCTCACCGCGACTCACTAGGTATCAGGAGAGCAGACCACCTTCTCGAGGCTCACGATATTAGGCTGTGCACAGGAGTGGTCAGCAAGGCTTTGCACAAGTTACAACGTATTATCCCACAAAACACCCACACATGGCCACCTGCCTTCTCCTCTTGAAGGGCACTATCAAACTCCTTCTTTCTCTTCTCCAAAGGACCAGACTCACATAACTCAGATCCTTCAAGATCATAACCTCCTGCCACAGAAGCTCGCGCTTCTCCGTCCACCTCTTCCACACCAGGTCATCGAATTGCGCCATGACCCCGGGGTTCCCAGCTTCCTCCGAAGGCTGTGACCCAGGGTTCTCGAAGAGGTTAGCTAGGTCTGCTCTCACAGATCTGATGGCCTGATCGCGAAGGGGCCGCAAATCCAGGACCTTGCACGCCAGTTGCCGTCCCTTGTCTCGCCGGTAAGCCATGTACACGGTTGCGAAGCCTCCCAGGCCGAGCTTGCGGTGCGTGAGGACGAACTCGCGGTTCAGGAGCTGCAGCTCCTCTTGCTGCAACTCATACGGCGTTGGTTTGTCGTACACCTGGTCCGCGCAATTGAACATGAGGAACTTCTCGCCCTTCAGGCAGAGGATGTCGCCGTGGGTCAGGAGGAAGCCGCCGGCCGAGCGGCCCATGGGGTGGCCGTTCCAGGTGGTGACGTTCATGGAAAGGTCCTGGGCGTAGACGAGCGGAGCGATCTCGCTGGGGTTGTCGCGGTCGAATACCACGGTGTGGATGCGGAGGTGCCTGCGCGAGATGTGTTTGCCCTTGATGACGTAGTCGCATTTCGTGGACCGGCCGATGGTGATCACCTTGTCGCTGTAGATGGCGAGAGGATTGGTGGACTCTCCGGTGTGGATATCGTGGGTTGAAATGGTGCCGACGAAGAGGCTTTGAGAGGGCTGGGTAGGATGCGTGGACATGCTGGTTGCTGATATCGATGGAATAATGCTGATAAATGAAGTGAAAGTGAGGTGTATATATAGTTGAGAGCAAAGTGAGAGCAAAGTGAGAGAAAGAAGAGGTTTCGGTTTCTGTTTACAACCGGCTTCTGTATATTGCTGGCTGCCTCAGGATAGGAGTGGGACGGATTAGGAAGGAGCGCATCACCGTGACCGCGCACCGGGACTCCTTCCCAATCATTCTCGTTGACACAGGCAGCATGGAAGACAGTTTGAGAGGGAAAGGTCGAGGGCAAGCTTGTATCTGGCGAATGTGTACCGGTCCCTTGTACATGCTTCGCAATAGTATATGTCACCATACGCACCGGTTATACTCAATTCCTGTGTGTACAGCATGCACCTCTGCCCTTCCGCCGTACTCCCTGGATAATGGAACTACCCTGGAATGCCTCACATCTAACGCAGCCATGATATCTTTAGTACACAAGAGGGCAGAGCCCCTGGATTCGCAACATGTCTGACCCGGGATTCACCCAGACCTCCCCTACCAACAAGCCTACCTAGCAGCTTTTGCTATCAAGCTCTATCCAACTACCAGGGCCGACTACATCCGTTGATCAAAGCACAGCATGCAGGAGTATCGCTCTGCAAACCCCCGAGCCCATCGCAGAAAGAGATCTATCCACATGCCATCTACCTATAGGGAAATATACAGTAACATACATACACACACATTAAAAAAGTTAGGGAACGCCCCCCGAAGGTCCCTTACTATCCACCCCAATTGTCTTCAAGAATGGCTCAATAACGCCCCGTTTGCGCTCCTCCAGCGCTCGTCGGTCTTTTTCCTTCGCGGGCACGGGTCCTTCCGTGGTGATCAGCACCGAGGCGAAAATCGTCGCCAGGGCAGTTTCAACCGCTTGGCGGCGCATGGCCATCTGGGAGATGACAGAAGGGGGCTCGGAGACGGAAGAGTTGAATGTGCGGGTTCGGCGCCGGAAGGCGTTGGCGGATATAAAGGATGATGGGGGTGGTGGTTGCTCTTGCTCTTGTTGTTGCTGCTCTTGAGGGTTTGCTAAGTCTTTTGGCGAATTCTCTTGTGTTATTGGACTCCGGTTCTCAAGGGGAGGGGTTAAGATCTTCAGAGGGCCGTGGGTGGGAATGGATGATGCCGGGGCAACTTCGTTGGCGATACGGGCTAGCATGAAAGTTACGAAAGTGAAAGAGACGCTGTGGGCGGGGGAATAGGCGAGGCTTTCCAGCACCCACGCTTGGGTTTCTTCCCACGATAAAGGTGGTGCGCGGGTTTTCTCGCGAGCGAGGATCTGTTGGTCTAGATTTTGCCACACAGTGCCGGTGACGACGCCGTCTTTCAATGACCGAAGGAAGACAAGTAGCGTTTCGCTGAGAATCTCGAGCCGGTGGAGACAAGATACTTCGGGCGCGAAGACGATGCTGAAATCTTTATTGGTGTCCAAAGCCTCGCGAGCGGCGGCCAGAAGTGAGAGACGCTCGTCCTTGTCACGTAAGGTCCATGTCTCAGGCTCAAAAGGCCAGCCATAGCCATACGGCTCCTTGATCCACGGAGGCATGTCATCCTCTGAGTGGCCTCTTGTCATACTCCATTCAGCAACGGCCCGTTCAGTCATTTCCGAAATAGCCTCAGTCAGTCTGAATAGCTCGCGAGGTGCCGATAGAGGCACGGCCGAACTCCGTCGTCGTTCGGAGTTGTTGAGACTCCGCGCTCCCGCCTCGGGCATCATTGTGAGCTCTTCGAGCGAGCGGCCAAAGCAGGTAGGCAGCCATTTGCCGTACGCAGAAATGAAATGGTCCCGCCCGTTCGTCACTCGGAGGACGAGGACTTCTTCCAGGCTAAATTGGTCCTGATTCAATAATCGGGCTAGCTCTACGTCTCTAACAAACGCCGTAACCTCAATGCTGGCAATCTCACCGGGGAGGAGGGTGCATTCGTTCGACGGTAGCTTCTTTTTCGAGTCTTCTTGTTCAGGATGGTGCACCCGGTACTCCAACCAAGGAGCCGACTTGTGGGTTTCATTCTGCTCCGGCTTCTCCAAGGAAAAGGTGGCGGATACACCGCTGGTATTGGCGACGGTCAAGGACCGAGTGACGGGAACATCGAAAGGCACGTCTCCAAAATTCACGGCGTTGGGATCTTCGCTGGTGGGCTGATTACCATGATGATCGACCACCACAGTAAGTCCAGGTCGAGACTCGTTTTCCACCTTGTCCAGTTCTCGAACCACTTCCTGATGGATCTTGGCCTTTTTTTGCGGGTCCACGGACTCGAATGTCAAGGTAAATCCAGCCGCGAGAGGCTTATGGTCCGAGGAGAGTATCCCTTGATGAGACAAGTAGTAGTCTAACTGAAGAGACTCATCAGCTTCGGCGGTAGAAATGAAAGAGTCGTCTTCATTGGAATCCTTGTCGGGATCATATTCATCCCCACTGTCGGCTCCGTCAACATCTGGGTCATAATCGAACAAGACGTTGTCATCAGCAGCCGCCTTATCCAGGCCCCTAGCCTTCATCTCCTCATCGCGCTTCCTAGCCTCCTCGGCTTCTTTCGCCAGTCGCTCAGACCTCAGTTTGTCTTTGTGTGATCGGAACAAAATCCGATCGCACCAGCTGGGACCGCGATTTTTCTCACTCGAATCGAACCTACCCACGCTGCCTACATCATACTTGTAAGTAGGCAGGAAGGTGATAGGACCCTCTCGCCAGCCGTCATGGAACGCCTTACGCTTGCTCTGCTGCGTCGTGAGCTGGTCATGAGGCAATAGAGACGATATCGTGGTCTGTAAGGAGGCGGGGTCTGTATGGGGATCGATGTCGTCGTCCGAAACAGGGGGACTAGAGCTGCCTCGCCTAGATGATCGCTGTTGATCTCCTCCTTCTTTGTCTATTACGAGCGGTGATTCAGTACGCCCATCAGCATTCATTCGTGTCTTGTGCCGGTTATCGTAGTCGTTCTCCGTATGTCGAGCCAGCACTCGACGCACATCATCCCCGGGAATGTCTTCCAGTCGGTAATTAAGATCTCCGAACCAGAAAGCAAAGTCCTCTTGCCCGATACTCTCGGCAGGGTCTTCACGAAGGGTAGCGATCGGATCAATGGGTTCGAAGCGAGTCCGTGTAACGATCTGGGAAGCGTCCCAATTGCGCCGCTCTAGACTGTTCTTATCGGACCCGGCAGCCAGGTGGCAGTCCACAAAGACAACGCATGTGGTTTCGCCGAGGACCAAGCGAGTCGCGACGGCGCCTTTGTTACCCATGTATCCTAGAAGCCCCGTACCCACACTAGTGCAGCTCACAGACGATACCTGGTTGGCCAGGGAGGGGGAAGCATAGACCAGCTGCAGCAATCCCACCAGCTGTGTCTCGGCAATAAGCTTATATCCCGGTGGCAAGGCCTTCTCAAGCGCTGCCTTCCATCTATTCGCCGGCGCTGGATCGACATACGGTCTCAGCGCCTCCGCGGGCGACGAGACATCCACAATCTCCTGCAAGCCCAGGACGTAGAGGTCAATCTGGTCCGGCGCAGTCTCGGACAATGACTCTGTGTGTCCAGCCGAAGAGTTGTCCGTCTTGTTTCCTCCCTGCGAATCCTTCACCCGTAACCCAGACAGTTGTTCGCATACCCCTTTCTGTTGCACGAACCAGTTCCCGATGTCGTTCTCGGTGCCTGGGATGGCAGCCACATTCCATGTGCCAACCTTGATTCGGATCGACTGCTGGTGGGTGTATTCGGCCTTTCGCGCTTTGACGGCCTGCGGGAGCGAGGAGGGGTCGGTCTCCGGAGACGTTTCGTTATCGCCCGGGAATTCGCCGGAGATGTGTTGCTGTTGCTGGGCGATGGAAGCCATGGTGTCTGATTAAGGGAATAGTATGCGCCCTCCCGATCCAGGGATATAGATCTATATATAGGGTGGCCTCCGAGCGATGCGGGCGAATACGAGGTCACCGCGGACTGACACGCGGCGCAAAAGGTTGCACAAACGAATAGAAGCTAGATGCGATAGTTTGGAACATTAGGAAATGAACATCATGCGACCATCGAACGAGAGGTCAGGGATTCGTTCTAAATCAAGACTGGAGTGTTGGACCAGAGCGCTGGTGGCGAAGGTCGTAGCGGGCGAGAGCTGCGTGGAATACGTACTGTACAAGCCCGCGGGAGCGGCGGCTCTGGATTGGTATAGATTGGGATGGGGGGCGCTCCCAAGAGAAAGAACAGTCTTGGGGATTTAAGTCAAGGTCTGCGATCAGCTTCCAAGAAGAATGATCGCAGAACCCAGTGAAAGAGAGAAAGGGTGGTGGTGGGAGGATGGTTTTGAGGTGGAAGGAGGGAGAAGGGGAAGAGGAAGAGGAAGAGGACGGATTGAATAATCGATGATGATGATGGAATGGGATTCCAGACTCGACCGCGGGGTGCTTTCCGACCGCTTCTCGGCCTGAGCTTCCCCTTCCTTTCCCTTTCGCTTTCCCTTTCCCTTTCTCTCTCCGCCATAACTTCCTCAAATCGTCATCACTTCACCTCCCACACACCCACACCCCCGTCTCTCTAAGTTGCTCTTACCTCACATTTCTTCTCTATACCAGTCATCTCACACAATGTCCGCTCGCAAACCCCGACGGGCACACTCCAACCAGGGCACCAACAACATCAACAACCCGCGGCACCACCAACAACACCTGAGCCAAAGCGGCTTCGCCCAACCCTCCGACTACGACTCCGACTACCAAACCTATCTCTCAGACACTCAACACCACCAACAACTCCCCATTCACGCTCACCACCCCCCACAAACACACCAACAACTCCCCCCAATGACAAGCACCGCAACCACGACGACGACGACGACCACCACCACCACCACAGCCCCCGCGCCGCCGCCCCTCCGCACCAACGAAGACCTCAACCTCTCGGTCCTCCGCCGCCACAACCCAACCATCACCTCGATTCTCTCCCTCGCGCAATACGCCGTGGTCTACATCTTCAGCCCCAGCACGCGGCAATGGGAGAAAAGCGGCGTGGAGGGGACGCTCTTCGTGTGCCAGCGATCGCAGGGCGAGCTAGGCGAAGAGCGCTACAGCGTCTTCGTGCTGAACCGTCGCGGGCTCAACAACTTCGACCTCCCGCTCACCGACGGCGACAACGTCGAGATCACCGAGGAGTATATCATCCTGAAGTCCGATTTGGCGCCGGAGGTGGTGGAGAATGCTTCCATCCCGGGGATGGTGCCGCCAGCCAATTCTACCGCTGCTGCTGCTGCTAAGCCTTCGGGGAATAGTGGCGGTAATGGTGGGGATATTCGGATCTACGGGTTGTGGATCTACAGTGAACCGCCGCCGAATTCCACGGCCGAGACGCGCAGCATCAACGCGCAGATGATCCGGGAGTGTGCGGTGCATGCTGGGGAGAGCTTGAAGCTGGCCAGGGAGCGGGTCGAGGCGACGCGGCAGAATGGGATGCATGTTGCGGCGGCGACGGCGGCGGCGGCGGCTACGACGGGCGCGCCGTTGGAGGAGGTGAGCACTAGTGTGGCGATGGGAAGGCAGGTCTCGCTCAAGGATCTGTTCGGGCAGCAGCGCGCCCAGGATGATGGGTGGAGTGTGCGCGCGCATCAGATCGCGCCGGCCGATTGGCAGCATGCGCCTCCGCCTCCGTCGCAGCCGGGTCCGGGTCCAGGACCGGGGTCGGGTCCTGGAGCTGTGCCGGCGCTGCAGCAGGATGTTCTGGGCGATCTGTTTCGGAGAGCCGGGCTGGCGTATCAGGGGGGTCAGTGAGGTGTGTCTTTTGTGTGCGGAGGGATGCGAGAGGATACCCATGAATGATGGTGGTATGATTAGCGCATATAGAAGTTTTGGTGTGCATTCTTGGGAAACGGTCGTAGCCCTACCTCTATTTCACGATGTCTCTATACAGTCAATGCCTCCCGTACATACTCATTACCCTATTCAACCCCAACCCCAACTCCCTAGGGAATTACCCATCCTCACCCCACAACCTCCCTAACCATCCCAGCAACCTTCTCCGCCATAACTTCGCTATGCCCTGCCCAGCATACAGTCAGCACACGCATCAGATCAACCAAGTCAACCCACAAACCCACAAAGCCCCAAGCACACCCCCGGGCCCAAGACCCAATACACCAAGATTGGGGCAAGACTCACTCAAACAGAAAGCATGCGGCAACCCCTCCTCACAAACCACCATCGTCGGGCCACGGCCCCCTTCCCCTTCCCCTTCGCCACCCTTCGCACTGCCACCCTCCGTAATCCCATTCGCATTCGTATTCCCATTCCCATCCCCATTCCCCCTCCCCCGCAAAGCAATAATCTCCTCCCTCGTCTCCTCAGCGACCCAATGATCCCCGCGTCCATAATAAAAGAACAACTTGGTCAAGCTCTTCGCTGCTTCAGGCGTCGACGCAATCCCCCACACCTCGTCGGCCCATTCATCCGAACTGATGGTGTACATCTCCGACGCGGCCATGTGTCTATCACCGTCAGTATCCCTGTACATGCCCTGGAGAGGCACTAGATAGCCCGGCGGGGCTGGGTTAGGTGTGATCCTGATATCGGATCTTGATCGCTGGACCTAATCCAGGAGAAGAGAGAGGGAATGTGGGGGAAGGGCGACATACAAAGCCTGTCTGACGCCCCTCCTACTCGTCAGAAACCGGCAGGTCGTGTCCACGGCGGCGGACGGCGGGGATCCCATGACCAGACGCACTACGGTGCGGAGCATGGGGGCCGGGAGGAGGGTCGTTAGGACCCGTGCGACAAGGCTGGCGATCAGGGCTAGGTGGGGGAGGATGGTGAGGAGGGTCTTATCCGTGTGGGGAGAGGGTGGGGGTGGTTAGTGTTCGTTATTCCAGTGTGAAAGTGGGGGTCGGGTTGGAGAGAATGGATGGAGTATGGGATAGGGCTCTGCGAACTTACGGTCAGTTTCCTCCCGGAGGGGGATTTGGCGATGTCGACGACGGTGGGGAAGAGGAGGATTGCGCTGATGATGGGGAAGGAGGGGTGCTTGTTGTCGGCTGATGGTGATGATGATGATGATGATGATGATGATGATGATGATGAGGTTGCTGCTGAGGATCGTTCGCGGTGGCGCCGGATGATCTCCATAGCGATGTAGGTTCCCACGGAGTGGCCGATCAATATGACTCGGGGTCTGACTGTATCACCGTCGACACGACGAAAAGCTGGGGTCTCCGAGGCGACAACACGGCTTACGCAATCGTCCAGCTTGCGCTGCACGAAGCGGATCTGGTCTTCCAGGTCGTGATAGTGTTCTGTGTTGCTGTCGGACGATGACGATGCGACCTCAAAGCCGGCGAGGCTGTGGCCGTAGAGGTGGAATCTGGGGCTCGCATTGTCCTTGGAAATCCAAACCCTCAATTTCTCGATCAGATGCGTGAAGAATGGGTAGTAGTATGATATCAAGCCAGGATTGCCGGATATAAAGTAGATAATCACGGGGCTCCCAGACACACCCCCGGAGGATTTCTTGTCGCACAAGGTGTGGAAGAAACTATCCGGGGTCATGTGAGGGTCGATTTCCGGAGACATGGCGCCTGAGTCAGGATCTGAAGACACGCTGAAGAGCTCTGAATCATGCATGTCCACTTCAAACTTCAAGTCTGGATCATGCATCCTGTCTTCGGCGTTGCTTCGCCGGCCGCGGGAGACAGCGGCGGATGTACTCTTTCCCCGCAAGCCGAGGATGTGATCGGCGCTCATATACAGTCTAAGTTACATCTCCCATAATCTACAGCCGCGCCTATCGACGCCAGGTTTAAGTTCACTTGACATTGCCCATGCAAGGATATGTGCAATCGATGTCTTTTCGCAAATGCTATCCCTTCTTCAACCCCAGCCCATACCATACCGTCCAGTCCATCCAGCAAGCCTGACTCCGCCCCGGTCCAGAGCCCTCGAAATCCCGAATGATAAGTGAAGAGAAGAGAAAAAGTGCTATAAATGTACAATCATCTCGAACCGGACTGGTCAAATCGAGTCCTGCTTCTAAAAGGAAAGCCATCAAGGAACAAAAAGGGAATCGTACAGAAAGAATGCGTTCGGTCCATCGGTAAAAAATGCTAGAAAAAACGCATCACTTCATCTGGTATCTAGAAGGCTGTCGTAAAACAAACACGGAATGTTCCGCAACTCTGACAAATGACAACACAACAATGAATGCAGTTTGCTCGGCTACGGAGACTCGAGCATTCACAACAAAAAGATCAGACGATTCTGGAAATCATGAAATCATCCACCTTGACTGTCATGGTTATCATCTCGGTTCTCCTTTTCATTGCTCGTTTTGTCTACCGCAGTGTCAGTGGGCTTGACGGTTGCGGAGCTCAAATTGATCGCAATCCGCTTGGGTGCTGCGCTGGTAGTCGTATTGCCCAGAGTCGACCCTTTCTCGTTGGATGAAAGAGAGCCAATAGACACGCTTCGTTTCCGGCGCAGAAGCCCGGCACTCCCAGATCCTGCATTGACTGAGCTTCGTCGTTTGGGGCCGGCTGTAAGCTTCATCAGTTCGTCATCATCTTCCTCTTCGCGTCGGCGCTTCTCCGACAGTCTTTCCGGTGGGGTCTGTATCGTCAACGAGACGGGCGTGGACGGTGCCTCCTCAGATGACTCCATGGCAGTGTCTCGACCGGGGCCCTCCTGTGATGACGATTCTTGCTTTGGTTGCGTCTGGTCTTCAACCTTAGTATTCATCGCGTCGTCTTCGTCGTCGTCATCGGGATAATCAACTAGGGGCTTCACTACGGGCGATGCTGCGCCATTCTGCGGGTGTGCAGAAATGGCTGTGTTCTGTTGGGGATCCTGCTGCCACTATAGTACATGGTCAATACTTCGGACTGTCTGATTCCCGGCTGATGCGACTTACCTCTTCTTCATCATCCGAAGTGTTGAAGTATTCTTCCTCTGCAGCATCCATTTCCTTGACCCCTTGCCAGCGCGACCCATTGGCTTGCATCCGCTGACCTGGCAAATCTTCTTCCTGGGAGTATAGAGTAGAATCCGCCTCCTCTGCGCCGTAGCCCTGTAATTGCTCGTAGCGTAAGTACAGAGTTTGGAACGTGTCCACATAGGTGATGTTCTTGATCTGCTCGCCATATTTCTCCACCAGATGAAGAACGATGGGTTTGATGTTCTCGCGCTTGATGTACTCAAAGAGTTCAAGGCAGGCCGAGTTCAGAAGGTTGTCACGTGGCATGGACTGGTAGACGATATCGAGGATCAGACCGAACGTGTTGTTACGGGTCATCATAGCTTGGTAGAAGGTATCTTGGAGACTAATTAAAGTGCGAAAGAACTTCAGGGCAGCTGAGGAGAATAAGAGTTTAGTTTCCAGCAGACCAACATAATTATCGTGGCGACCTACTCAGTTTGAGATGCTTCTGGGGCACAGTAAGTAATTGAGCGACCCGAGGGGCGAGCGACTCGTCATGGATAACATTGCGAGAACGGTATAAATGCTGGCGCACGAAAAATGTAAGAATATCGACAAGATGCGAATACAGCGTTACATCTTGGAATGTGAGGTCATTCACTGCGAATGGTGGTGGCGCCACGGTCAGCAACCATCAGGCGATGGCATAGAATAGCAAAACTCACGATTATCGCTATTTTCGAGTCGCTTCAGAGGCCAAAACAGCCTCCTGGCAGACTCGTCGAAATGGTTCTGGACAAATGTATCCGAAAAGATGTTGGAACGTGGCTTGTTGAAGTGCTCGGGTCCAGCCCGAGCCATGGCGTCCGGCATTGATATTTGTGGATCTAGCAGGACCTTGATCGCATCGGCAAGCTGATTCTTAACTCCGAGGTCGGTTTCCGTGTGCAGCAGGTCGATCAAAGTATCTGTAAGGGGCGTTTTCTTCTCGCTGACGGCCTTGAGCATATATCCGCGCATCATGATCTGATCGTGGTCGAGGAGAGACACCAGAAGATCAATGCCTGTCGTGCGCAATGGTGGCTTGGGGTGTTTGATAGCAAATGCGATCACAGCGAAAAGGCCATGGTTGATGAAATTGGCAAAGAGGTTCGCACGCGCCGGCGCTTGCAAGTTCTTTGCGATGACCGCGCATTGATGAAGGAATTGGACCGCATCCTCCTTGCGCTTGTTGTCGGCGTTTCGGGGGTCGAAGACTGTAAAGAGTTCCTTCAAGAATTGCGCGTTGGATTGTATATGATTAACGATTTCCACCTGGTTGAAGAAGATCAAGGAGTTTAGCACTGAAAATGTAGGATCATCTAGGATCCTAGCCAGAACCACGTCTTTGAGGTACTGTAAGCGCCAGGTGTATCGGATCTTGTGACGAATGAGAGGGTCCTTGATGGGGACCACTTCTTTGTAACGCGTCTGGTCTGCGAGGTACTGGCGATGGTTGGCCTTGTGGGTAGGGAACTCGGGGTCGTCTACAGCCCATTAGCAATTTCTCAGTGCAAGGCGCTGCCATCAGGATTCATACATTCCAATGCTCCAACGACCCCCAGGATGACGGGGTCTGTGACCACGGTTTCGATGATCGTGTTGTCGTTGAGTAGGATCAGTGACTTCATGATATTGCAAAGACGATGTAGATCCGGAAGGCTTTCGAGGTCTTCCGCCATTGAGACCAGAGGGATGAGTTTCGGAATATACTCATCACGAATGACTAATTTGGAAAGAGCATCGCGGCCGGCTTGAGTTATGCTCGAGGTCCTCATGATGTGGTCGATTTCGGGAAGATTGCCTAGGTCGGGCGCCGGCAGCATAATCGACTGGTAGCTCTCGATCTCGTCGGACAAGGCATCTTCTAGGCACAACGGAATGACCAGGTCAGCAAAAGATCCTATCATCAGCTATCGCGGCAGCGTAGCCTGGAGATGGGAGAAAATCTAACCTCCCGGCGCCAAACTGAGCAGATGTTGCTGCACGTTGTTGACGAAGTCCCTGCGGAGACTCAGTCAGTCTTCGGCTTGACTCATTTCCATCCCCGTTTCGAGCTGGGCTCGATGCGCCTTACCAGATGACCGCGCACCCTTCGGCTTCCTGAAAACTGAGTGCCATGTCCGTTCCATTGGGCTCTGTCCATACAATCAATGTCTCTGATGGGGTCGTGTGATGGTCAGTGATGGTTCTTGTACGACTTGTCGCGTGCGCAATGGACGGGAAGCGCGCAGGAGGGGTGGCACCTTGTTGCTTCTGGTATCCGTCATCCTTGGAGATCTTGGTCTCCAACAGCACCCGGTTGGGTTCATCTTCCGACTCGACGAAAATCCGCGGCTCATCCTAGCCATGGCGTGGACTGGTTAGCGATGGAATCTTCATGGAAGCGACCAAGCGCGCGCCCGACGGCGATGGTGCGTTTGCGCCCGACGAGCGGGCGACGCAGCAGTCGCGCGGCGGACAGCAGGTGGAAGGGACACGACTCACATCCAGGATCTGACCGGTGCAGAAGCCGGTGCCTCGATCGAACCAGTCATTATCTCTGAGTTCGTAGACCTTCACCCGCTTGCGATCGCTGGGTGGTTGCACCTCCAACGCCATGGTCCGGCAAAACGGAGAGGTGGCGTCTCGTCACTCCGGGACAACTCAGGAACGAGTGTTCCGGCGCGAGGAGAGCCCCAACGGAAGGGAAGGCGGAGAGAAAGATAAGAAAAGGCCGCGGCTTGGTCCAGATTGGACGGAGGATGTGCGGAAGGGAAGGGAAGGGAAAGAAGTGGGGAATGGGAGGAAAAAGCGGGAAAGGTTAAAAAAGGGAGAAAGAAGGGAGAGGAAAAAGAATGATGATGTGGATGTGTGGATGTGTGGATGTGTGGTCGATGTGATATGATGTGATAATCAGGTCAGGTGGAGGGGGGAGAGGAGGAAGAGAAGAAAGGGAAGAGGAGACGGACGGAGAAAAGAGGGGACGGGAGGATGGAAACAAGCAAACGACGAGTACAGACAGAGAAGGAGGTTAAGGAGACGGAGGTGTTGTGTGTAGGTGGAAAGAATGAGAGTAATGTTAGAGGTCTGGGAGGAAGGAAAATGATGTAAAAGGGAAGAAAAGTGACAGGCAAAAAAAATAAAGATAGCAAGCAGTACTCCGTACAGGTAAGAAGATGGAGACGGGGAAAGGTTAGCTGCTGCTTGTTGCTTGCTTGCTTGCTTGCTTGCTTGCTGCTACTGCTGCTGCTGCTGCTGCTTCCCTCACAGCTTGTACAGTACAGTACTTGCGCCTATGTTTCTGCTTCTGCTTCTACTTCTGCTTCTGCTTGTTCTTCGATGATGAATGAGGATCCTTCTTGACTTTGGCGTCGGGACCACCTGACGGCCTCGGCAACTGTCTTGTCTGCCTGCCTACCTATCTGCCTATTTGTTTCGGAGAGGGAAAAGAAAATGAACCGGACGACAACAACAACACGCGACCGTACTGAACACTACCTAAGGGATTAGAATTGCTCAACAAATCGGGAGCTTATCAGAGCTAAGCTGAACAGGACAACGTCCGATATACGGCAACCCACCAGCTGCCAGCCAGCAGTAAGTCCAGGTGGAGTACTACAAAGGGCCAGCTCGGGGATCTGCAGCGAAAGCGGAGCGAGCAATTGAAGACCTGAAACTTTTCCGTCAATCCGTCTACACCTACGTGACTATACCGGTAGCTATAAACTTATCTGCGTGTTCATCAATAAAGAAGGGTCTTGCCGATGACGTGCGCGTCCCCGGAAAGGTTTCAGGCCAGCCCTGAGGATTCAGGATAAGAATAGCCCTCCAGCCGCTAGGGTGTCGGGGGGGGGGGGGGGGGGGAAGGGGGGTTGGGGAGTCGGACCTTACAGCAGGATGCTTCTTCTTGTCCCATGTGGATGGATGCGATACTGAATAGGTCCCATTTGTGGTTATTGTGGTGGGGGGGGGGGGGGGGGGAAGGGGGGTTGGGGAGTCGGACCTTACAGCAGGATGCTTCTTCTTGTCCCATGTGGATGGATGCGATACTGAATAGGTCCCATTTGTGGTTATTGTGGTTAAGGTTGGGTCACCGGGTTGTCAGTCAGTCAGTCGGTCGGTCGGTCGGTCGGTCAAGGGGTGGAATGGCAAAATGGCACTGCAAGGAGGAGAGAAGACCAAAAAAATTCTAGCCCCGTCACTTCTTATTGTTCCCCCCATTGTCAGATATTTGGATTGTTCTATAATTGTTCCATAAGGTACACTACTAACAAGAAGAGTGTGTGTCCGCAACTGTAATCACCATCCCGGGACCCCACGCATTCAATATCCATGGAACCTTTGAGTGGATATGTAATAAGCTACCACTTCAGCCTCAAAAACGGACGATCTCTAACGTAGCGGAGCGAAAGAATTGCATTGTTGTCTCCTGCCTCCGAGGGTCATTCCGCCTCTATCCACCGTTGATAGCGACGGAACAGGATGTCCATGACCGAGATCGGGGCTCCTACTCAGTTGGGCAGCGACCAGTCCCCAAGCTTAACCCGAGACTGCCTGAAGACGGTGGTTGCACTACCGATACGGATCACTGCGCCTGTGTTCCCCCTCGGTCAATAGATGAACCAAGGGGAGGGGCGATGCGGATGGGTCATGTGGGGGATGCTGCGTCACCAAACATGCTCGATTCTTTGAATCATGCCGAAGCAAATCCGCCATTACCCTCCAGGAAGGACGGGAGCCTGAACTGTGCGGTTGTCAGTGAGCGGATCGGAACATCTTCCAGAAAAATGGCAAAATGGATGAATGAAGGCGATTGACGGAGGACAGGGCCAGGTTGGAGACCCGATGAGATCATTGCGCAAAGCCTAATTCTGGGTGCCTGGGGCAGTGAATGTGGCAAGATGCATGTGACTACAGCAGGATAACTTTTCGCTGTTGGCCAATGAAGCTTGTTGGTATTAGCTATACGCGAGCAAATATACAGTCTCTAACCATGATAAACAGGTAGTCAACTAGGAAACACAGTTGCTTGCTACCAAGCAACTTGCATACTACCGGTACTCCGTATATGCCGGAATCCTGGGTATTTATATACTAACTCGCTTTCCCCCTGTAAGGCGAGAAAGTGGATGTTCCGTGCAGGAACGCTAAGATCAGTGCATGGATGCGGAGGTGGCACCCAGACATCCACCTCAAACTGCTGCAGACTGTACGAGGGATCCCTCATTAGCATCAGATAGCTATTCTTATCGCGGCCACTCCTTGGTAGTGGGTGTGTTCCAGACTGCTACCAGCTACCTGCTAAGCGTTGGATGATCCCTGATAGCCGACGCGGGTCAGCTCCCTTATCGGGCCCGAGCGGTAGGGATTATGGATCCACATGAGGGGTGCGACCCGTGATTGGCCGCGAAGCACATGACGGGAGGGCGGATCTGATTGACTTGGCGATTACATAATTTATACTTAGTAACTTACTTAGTAGCAGTAGTAACTTCCAGTAGAAAGTCCTCTCCACTTCCTAGTTGGCTTCCTCGTGACTTTCTTCAGCCTTTACATCTTCAATTCAGACAGCCGTTGGGTCTGATATACCAACTGCCATCCGCGAGCGACTTCGGGAGCTTTGCGCTCGTGCGGGTGGGAAAGCTCCCGTCGGTGTGTCGTTACTCCAGTCGTTTTAGAAAAGTCTGTTGCAGCAGCCATGACACATTCTGCTGTGTCCCATGGCACAGACGATGCTGGGGCTGGCCCATCGTCCACGGGCACCGATCTCGGTCGTGCCCATATACCACTACCGTCCAAATCCGATGCCTCCGCTACCTCTAATGTATATACTACCGGCGACGGTAGCACCGACGCAGTGGACTCGGAACACGCAACAACAGCGGACCATCCCACCGACAAACAGCAAAGCCCGCTCGCCTACCTGACCACCCGAGAATTCTACATCACCCTCCTCCTGGGGTAAGACCATCTTCACACCAGTTACAAAGAGTCCTTAGCATCTCATTAAGTCACCAACAGTCAAATCCTCGCCATCACCAACACAGCGTGCAGCACTTTCAGCACCCTCCTAGCCGACCGAGGCGTCTCCCTGCCGGCCACGCAGACCTTCTTCAACTACCTCCTGCTGACCGTGATCTTCACCTCCTACACAATCCACCGCCACGGGCTCCAGGGCTGGACCCAGAGCTTCTTGTCTCGCGGTTGGAAATGTACGATATGCCCCCATCCCCATCCCCATCCCCCCCCCCAAAAAAACAGACCTCCTCCTCTCCCTCTTCGACGTAGAAGGCAACTACTTCCTCGTCCTGGCCTACCGCAACACGACCCTCCTCAGCGCCCAACTCATCAACTTCTGGGCCATCGCCATCGTGGTCCTAATCTCCTCGACCGTCCTGGGCGTGCACTACCACCGACCCCAACTCCTCGGGATCTCCATCTGCATAACGGGGATGCTCCTCCTCCTCTTCTCCGACCGCACCCCACCCGCCTCCGCTCACAACAAACTGCTCGGCGACCTCTCCGCCCTAACCGGCGCAACCAGCTACGGCCTCGCCAACGTCCTCGAAGAAGTGCTGGTGACCACCGCCCCGATCGCCGAGGTGCTCGGCCAGATGGCGCTGTGCGGGGCGTGCATCACCGCGCTGCAGGCCCTGGCGCTGGGGGAGCTGTCCGCCCTCCTCCGCAGCAGCATCGTGTGGGATGCAAGGGTCCTGGGGTGGTGGGCCGCGTACACGCTCTGCCTCGCCGCGTTTTATTGTCTGGTGCCGCTGCTGCTGCGGCGCGCGTCCGCCGCGTTCTTCAACCTGTCCATGCTGACGATGAACTGCTGGGGGGTCGGGGTCGGCGTGCTGCTTTTCCGGTATCAGGTCGGCTGGGCGTATCCCGTGGCGTTCGCGTTGATTGTCGCCGGCCAGGGGGTGTATTTTCTCGGTGCTGCCCCGGTATCCGGCGGCGGTGCGGGCGGGGGCGAGAAGAAGCCTTGGGTGAGATCCTGTTCTGGGTCGGGGAGGGTGGATACGGGACGAAGGGGCCAGAGGTTTGGAGGATTGAAGGCTTCGGAGGAGGAGGAGGAGCCGTTGCTGTTGCGCCGGGAAGAACAGGAGGAGGCTGGGGAAAGGGTTTCGGTGGTTTGATGGGTCGGGCTGGGAGCCACAGTCTCTGGCGCTGGGATGCGCTGGGCTGCTTGGGATACATATTTCAGGACGGGGCTGTGGGTTTTCCGCGTAAATGACTGAACGACTATGACGAGCTCTTTTATATAGATGACGATATGCGAGCGTGATAGACTAGATTCTGAGAGGGAGTCAAGATGTTGAATTAAATGAGTTTGTCTGCTTCTAGCAATGTTGTGTGATACAACTCTATTCCTTAGAATTATTGACCAGGTGCGCCGCCGAGCACTCTGCCGAGGTTGAAGACAACTGGATGACTGGGCAAACATCCAAGCAGTCAAGATGGATTCATGAGTGAAGCCATTCGCGGAAGAGATTTACAGCAATCACCCCTGCCGCCAGCAACTTCAATGAAGATTGAAGTACCTCATCCACAACCTCACGTCAGCTCAATACGACAAACATCCTAGGCCCTAGACACCAGAACCATACATTACGACGAAAAAAATGTAACCCGTACCTTATGACAGAACACAAATAGAAACATGAACCATATAAACCTATCAACGCACAGAACCACAAACTTGAAACAGAAACACAAGACATTCCAGAAAACCTCGGCAGATCAACAGACTCCAAACAGCTCTTTTGATAATGTTTGCCTGCTCCCCAGTATTCCTTTTGCCTTTGCCAGAAAAAACAACCAAACTAGAAAAACCCTTTTCGTACCCAGATAATAAGAAAGAAAAACACCCCATGACAAAATGACCCAACATGCTTTCGGCCAGATTCACAATCACAACCAGACCCGAACGATCAAAAAAAAAAAAAAAAAAAAAAAACAACACCTGGAACCCCCCAGAGATGAGCGGGAAACAAGAGCCCGAGAGAACATACACCCCCCACAGCCAAACAAGGTAAATACAATCACCCCAAAATACCCCAACCCCTGAAGCAGTGGTGGATAGATAGATAGATAGACTGGCGCCGAGTGAAACGACAACCCATGATCAACAGATGCGACACCAACAAAAACAAGAAACCCCCAACATGATGCCACATAACACAAAAGGGAATACCGACTCCAGAAACCAACAGGCCAATCCCAAAGGGCGCTAGTCAGTAGAACCACCATGTACCAAATTAAACCGACTGTCCACATGTGACGGAGCGCTAGACAAAAATATTAATCAAGACGTGTGCTTGCGACCCCACTTCTTTCAGATATGTACCATGCTCTTTCCCAATAGTCGAATCAAAGATATAACCCTCTCTTAGAACGCCACAGTACAAAAGCGAACACCCGTCCAAAGGAATAATGTTGTGAGAATCGAACCATGGCTGGTGGCCGTCGCTTAGCCCCAGACAGAGGCCTGCACGCCCAAGCCGTTCTTCGATCCCCACACGCCACTGCCGTTACCCCAACCCAGGGAAACACCACCGCCCGTGGTGTCCTTGACGCCGGCGGTCGCTGCGGCGGCGGTCGAGGCGTTGGAAACCGACGAAGCACGTTCGCCGGTAGTGGCATCACCCGAGGTGAAGCCGAATCCCAGGGGAGACGGAAGGGGAGTCGTGGAACGCTTGTTCAGGGCCGGGTTGGAAGCCTGGCCGGCACCGGTCTGTTGAAGAGGCCGGCTGCCAATGGGTCCCACAGAGCCGATGGGTCCAGTCGCCGACTTGGTCGATGCCTGTCTCGAGGAGGGAGAATCGGCGCCACCGGGAGACGAGGTTGAAGTTCCGGGCTGATCGGGAGTCTCGTACTTGCCAAAGACAGGGTTAATGCCCGAGCTGGGAGAAGAGGCGCTGTTGGCACGCGAGGGCGACTGGAGGGAGGCGGCACCCGCGGCAGCCTGAGACACGCCATCAACACTCCCTTGGACGGGAGTTTGCGCTAGACCAAAGGGGTCGGCACCGCGGGGAGACGGACCACGAACTCCGGTGGCAGAAGTCGGGGTACCACCGGCCTGGCTGTCGGAGCGGGGGTTCTCATCGGTCAAGCTTCCAGGGGGGAAGAACGCGGGGCTGTCGTTGCCGTACAGGGCCCTATGCTGACGAGCCAGAAGCTCGCGGCGACTTTCCTCGCTCATGGCGGCTGGGCTGAGCGAGCGATCGGACTTGTTTCCAGACATTTCGGCAAGCAGGCCTTTGAGAGAAGCAGAAGAATTAAAACCATGTTCAAAAACTGGAACCATGTCCCAATGTAATATACAAGCCAGCGAATACACATATGGGCAGAGAAGATCATGGGGGGAATAGTGGAGGAAGATGCGGGCGAGGAAGAAAGAAAGAGGCTCCAAAGACAAATGCTACCACGTACTTCGGTTGTACTGTTGCTCCTGGTGATAGTTGCGGAGCTCCCTCTCACGCTGTGCTGCCATCCGACGCTTCGCTTGCATCATCTGCTCCACTTCGTTGGGACGACCCTGGAATCGTTGCGAGGCATAGAAGCCCTGGAGGGAGGGATTCGGGTGCATCCGAGAATCGAACTCGCTGATCGAGTGATGACGCTGTGACATCGCACCGGCCATGCGGGGATCTACCACAGTACTGTTCAGAATGTAATAACTTCTAGTAGGGGGCATTCATGGAATCATACCGTAGTCGGGGTACGGGCGACCCATCATCATGGGCATCGAGTCTCTCCGGGGCGCGGCCCAGAGCTTTCCGCTCTTGACGAGATTGTCAATCGCACGGTCGACCTCTGTTGGAAGTCAGCGCCACTCTTTCCACTCTTTCTTCCCTTTTCCGAACAGAGATTCCACTGTGTCTGCAGACCGCAAAAAAACACATCTGCAGTGCGTGATCTCTGATTTGCATCATACGGAAGATCCGCAAAAGGTATGACATCTGGGGAGTCGGGAAATATGCGTACCATCGAACTGAGAAGAGAAGGCCGGGATTTCATCGCGCTGAGAGACGGAGCTTGATCCTATGAGAGAGCACCGGTGTAAGCCTCGCTGTTTTCCTGCTAGAAAAGATCGTTGAACGTCCTGCCAACCATACCTGACCGCGACGGGGGAGCCGGCTGTTCCCAGGAGGCCTGGCGCGTAGGAGGGGCTTGCCAGCCCTGGGCCTCGTAGTAGGACGCCATTATTTAATTGATCTGGGGACCGCGACGGACGGAACGGACGGCGTGAAGCGGAACGAAAGATTGGCGCTTGGAGGCAATCAGGAGAGGCCTGTGGTAAGGATATGAATGAGCATGAAGTCCAGAACACCTAAGCAGCGCAGCCAGTGCATTGACAAGTGATTGCAGACGACGGAGAGATAGGCGGATGACGACGGGGCGAAAGTCCAAATAAACGGGCCAGGTGTCCGAGTCACCGCACCGGGCAGATAAAAATAAGAAAAAAAGGCGGGATGGCGACCAGCAATGACATCGACCGGAGTTATTCTTAGATTCCTCGGAATGACCCTTTCCCAAGTATCAAACTCTGCTTTCGAGTCTCTCCACCATGACATCCTCGGGGATTCAATTGATCTTTCGCATTGCGGAGATGACAAGCGGACATGGAGTGAAGGGGTCGATATATGAAATCTGGCCGATTTGGATGGAAGGCGTAGTTGATGAGGTGTTGTGAATTTTCCCATTGACCGTATTGTGGAAGGCGGACAAAAAAAGAAAAGACAAGACATTGTGCTTCGGGAGTGTCAGGCAAGGGGACTGACTGGATGGTTACTCACAAAAAAAGGAGTGAATGCACTCTCAATAGGATCTACCACGAGCAAACGAGGCAGAACGGCAAGCAGTGACCGACAACAACTTCTCACCCTTCAGGCACGACAGACAGATTAAGTCTGGCGTGAGAGAAATGAAGAGGGTTGGAGAAGGCGGGGGGGAGAGAGAGAGAGTGGGTGGATGAGGGAATTAAGGACGGAGGATAGGGTGGAGGGGGGAAGAAGGGAAAGGGAAAGGGTAAGGGAAGGAAAAGGTCGGGTAGCAGAGGAGAAATGCAATCGTCCCAAACCGAGAAGAGAGAGGGAGAAGAGGACCGGGGGGAAGAGGGAGGGGGGAGGCTTGAGGAGGGGACGGGGGAAAAAAAAATAGAGTCTCAAGACCGAGAAACGGAGAGCGAGAGGGAAAACAGGTAGAGAGAAGGAGGAAGAGGGGGGCAAGGGAAAGGAAGCGAGCAAAAGACGTGAAATTCTTCTTTTTTTTGTCTTGACCGGGGATAAGAAAATCAGACTGAGAGGAAGAGGACAAGCGGCAGCAACAGCAGCAGCAATAGCAGCAACAGCGGCAGCAACAAGCAGCAGGACTTTTCTCCGCTGTAGCCAAAATAATAATAAATTCCACTACTAATACTGGTAGGTAATGATTATACACCAAAGACGAGAGAGATTGAAAACATAACTCCAACCAAGCCGAGAACTTGGTCACTGACGGAGTACTTTTTCCAGTAAGTACAGCACCGTCCGTCTGTTTGTCTATCAATATCACATTTTCCTTTCCCAGGACAGGCGCACTGCATGACAAGAAGAAATATATTAGAAAACGAAAAATGATGAGAGCATACCCTCTGCACCATTCTCATCTTGTTTTGGATTTCGTTTCTCTTACTTGTTTGTGAAGACCGCCGGTGTCTCCGTGGAGTACGGAGTGAGAAAAAAAAATAAAATCAAAATAAAAAATGAAAAAAAGGGTGGACATCGGATGGTTTCGAATGGATGTGGTTGGTAGAGGAGATTCGGGTTGTTGAATCGCTGGTTTCCCTCCCGATCCGAGAAATTTCTTCTCTCTCTGGCTCTCTCTCTTTCCCCTCTTCACAATTATTAAGTATAGGTTACTTCACTCGCAACTCGACTCTCCATATCCATGCCATCTAATCCTTAATTCATTCCTTACTCTATATCAAACAAACGAAAAGTTCCCATGATTCCCATGATATGGCAGGTTATCAGATCCCACCGTGTCAAGGTGTTTCATCGGTGACAGGCAAGTATCCCGTACGTTCATGACTTGATTAGGGGGTCCCACATGTAATCTCCAATACGATACGCACGCACACGCAGTAGGTTGAGACTATCCGACATGGGGCTTGTGTTCGACCGGTCAGCAGCCCATCCCATCATCACCTGGGTGGTCTTGGATGCAAGTCAGCAATCGGTTTCTTGCACTTTGATTACTGCCAGCCAGAGTTGCTCAACACAAAACACAAACCCCAGAATGCCAGCGAGTTGTTCATCGCTACAGTCTAAATTAAGCACCATGAACTGCTGC